TAAAAAATCGGAACTATCTAATCCCTCCAAAGAATTCCCTACGGAACTAACTGAAGAATTTTGGTGTGTTAACGATATGTACGCATTTGAAAATGTTGGATTTACAAACAGCGTAAGCACATTTCGTTACCTAACGTGTGCTGATTGCGATCTTGGGCCATTGGGTTTCCATGATACTCAGGAAGGTCCAACCAATGCATATTATATTGCGCTAACCCGTACCACTACTGAAGGTAAATCAAGCTGTAAAAAATAAGTACTTAATGAAGCACTATTCAAATGATGCTGTATCAATAGTATGGTTCGCCTTTGAGGAAAAATCCTACCTACTGAACGCTCACCAGTGTAAAACTGTCAGCAGACCAGTCCCAATACACTAAATTAATCGAGTTTTGTATTATTTGCCACTAAAAGGATTATATTTTTATTCCTGCAAGTAATCTTTTGTATTCTTAGTGACATTATTTTATAATTATCGTTTGATTTTCAAGTTTGTATTCCATATGATTTGCTCACTGACATGTGGCATAAAATTCTTGGGTAGTTCTCCTTAATATTAGATCAAACCATTAGGAGTAATCCATGATGGAGTTATTAATTATGCCATGCAGTTATTCAGTGGCTAATTGCCTATACTATTTGGTCATCATTGGAAACGTTTTAGACAACAGACCACCAGGACGAGACTATAATTTATGGACGGATCAATCAGACTTACGATAACAGGTCTTAAATTTTGGCGCAAAATTAATTTATTTATGTGGCTAAAGAGTTTCGGGATTATAGCTGATGTCAGTTCGTGGTGAAAAGCTTTAATCTAATTCCTAACCCTAACTATCAACTGTAAATACTAATCGTAATTCCCCACACTGGCTTATAACACTGATTTGGACGTAATATGTACGTGGAAATTCTCAAGGTCTTTTTAGCGTCGCTCGAAGTCGTCCATAAATTATAGTCTCACTACCGTCAGCGCTGCTCACCAAGTATTACTTTTAAATTTCTAAGGAAAAGCATCTGATGATTCAGAACATAGTTAATTATTTTGGACAGAATCTCCTTTAGCGAGAATATGGGAAAGCAATAGATATCGATGGTGAGGTTTCCAGTTAACTACTCAACAAAGCAGTTTGAAGGCACTTTGGTTGAACATCCATATATTTTTCGTATAATGTATTTTGACTTACTACTCATCTTAGCAAACTCCGCCTGTAGCTCTTCTAGAGTTACTGCCGGTCCTAAGCCCGGGTAAAGGAGGAGGGTTGGGCATGGGGTTAGCGTCCCCATCCCGTAGAAAACTAACTCGCTAAAAAAACGCTTACCAGAAAAAATAATTCAAACCATTTTAACTCTGCCCTGAGAGTTAGAAGAATTATGACGCTTCATGGTGAAAGCCGAGTTCCTTCGGAAGCCACGACGCCGATGCCCCTTCTAACAACCAGAGCAAAAATTTTTATAGGTACATGGAACGTTCGAACAATGTGGGAAACCGGGAAGACCAGCCAAATAGCAACGGAAATGAGGAGATACAACTTGGCAGTACTGGGAATCAGCGAAACCCACTGGACCCAAGCTGGACAGAAAAGGCTAGCTACGGGAGAGATGCTGCTATACTCCGGTCACGAAGAGGAAAATGCTCCACACACTCAGGGAGTTGCTCTAATGCTGTCCAAAGTAGCACGAAATGCACTTGTAGGATGGGAATCCCACGGATCCAGAATCATCAAAGCATCATTCAAAACAAAGAAGGAGGGGATCTTAATGAATATTATCCAATGTTATGCACCCACCAATGATAGCAACGACGACATTAAAGATCAATTCTACGAGCGGCTTCAGTCAATCATAGAGAAATGCTCAAGAAAGGACCTCACCATTCTGATGGGAGATCTAAATGCCAAGGTCGGAATAGAAAACACTGGATATGAAGATATTATGGGACGACATGGACTGGGAGAGAGGAACGAAAATGGAGAAAGATTTGCAAATTTGTGTGCATTCAACAAATTAGTCATAGGAGGCACAATATTTCCACACAAACGTATACACAAGGCTACATGGATCTCACCGGACCACACTACAGAGAACCAGATAGACCATATTTGCATCAACAAAAAATTCCGAAGGACAATGGAAGATGTGAGAACCAGGAGAGGTGCTGACGTAGCTTCAGATCACCACCTAGTTGTAGCCAATTTGAAACTGAAGCTAAAAAAGAACTGGACAAGTGGACAAACAACAATACAAAGGTTCAATACAGCCTTCCTTCGAGATACTGACAAACTCAATGAATTCAAGATAGCTCTCAACAACAGGTTCCAAGCTTTACAGGATCTACTGAAGGAAGAAGAAACTACCATGGAGGACAACTGGAAAGGCATCAAAGAAACATTGACTTCAACGTGTCAAGAGGTTCTGGGCCTAAAGAAACACCATCATAAGGAATGGATCTCTATAGAAACACTGGACAAGATCAAAGAAAGGAAGAACAAGAAGACAGCAATTAACAACAGCCGAACACGAGCAGAGAAAGTCCAAGCACAAGCTGAATACATAGAAGCAAACAAGCAAGTGAAGAGGAGCATTAGAGCCGACAGGAAGAAATACGTGGAAGAATTAGCAACGACGGCAGAAAAAGCTGCTAGAGAAGGAAATATGAAACAGCTCTACGATACAACGAAGAAACTATCAGGGAAATACAGTAAACCAGAGAGGCCGGTCAAAGACAAAGAAGGCAAGCCAATCACTGAAATTCAACAACAGCGAAACAGATGGGTAGAATACTTCGAGGAACTCCTGAATAGGCCGGCTCCAATGAATCCACCGAACATCGAAGCAGCACACACAGATCTTCCTATAGATGTCAACCCACCAACGACGGAAGAAATTAGAATGGCCGTCAGACAAATCAAGAATGGGAAAGCAGCAGGACCCGACAACATACCAGCTGAAGCACTGAAATCAGACATCGAAACAACCACAAGCATGCTTTATCTTCTATTCAAAAAGATTTGGGAGGAGGAACAAGTGCCAATGGACTGGAAAGAAGGACACCTCATCAAGATTCCAAAGAAAGGAGATCTGAGCAAATGTGAAAACTACAGAGGCATTACACTACTGTCAATACCAGGGAAAGTCTTCAACAGAGTGTTGCTGAACCGGATGAAGGATGCAGTAGATGCCCAACTTCGAGATCAACAAGCTGGATTCCGAAAGGATCGCTCGTGCACAGACCAAATTGCAACACTACGGATCATCGTCGAACAATCAATTGAGTGGAACTCGTCACTATACATCAACTTCATTGATTATGAAAAGGCATTCGACAGCGTAGATAGGAGGACATTATGGAAACTTCTTCGACACTACGGAGTTCCTGAGAAGATTGTCAATATTATCCGGAACTCATACGACGGACTACAGTGCAAAGTCGTGCATGGAGGACAGCTGACAGATGCATTCCAAGTAAGGACCGGAGTCAGACAAGGCTGTCTATTCTCTCCCTTCCTCTTTCTTCTGGTGGTCGACTGGATTATGAAGACCTCGACATCTGAGGGAAAACATGGCATACAATGGACAGCTCAGAACCAATTATACGATTTGGACTTCGAAGATGACCTAGCCCTTCTATTCCATATACACAAACAAATGCAGATGAAGACAACTGGTGTAGCAGCAGTCTCTGCATCAGTAGGTCTGAATAGACACAAGGGGAAAATCAAGGTCCTCAAATACAACACGGGGAACAGCAATCCAATCACACTTGATGGAGAAACTCTGGAAGATGTAGAATCCTTCACATACCTGGGAAGCATCGTCGACAGACAAGGAGGTTCAGATGCAGACGTAAAGGCGAGGATTGGCAAAGCAAGGGCCGCATTCCTACAATTGAAGAACATATGGAACTCAAAACAACTTTCAACCAATATCAAAGTGAGAATCTTCAATACGAACGTCAAGGCAATTCTACTGTATGGAGCTGAAACTTGGAGAACTACAACAACCACAATCAAGAAAGTACACGTATTTATAAATAGCTGTCTACGCAAGATACTCAACATCCATTGGCCGGATACCATCAGCAATAGCCTTCTGTGGGAGAGAACAAACCAACTTCCAGCTGAAGAGGAAATTATGAAAAGACGATGGAAATGGATAGGACATACATTACGCAAATCGTCAAACTGCATCACGAGGCAAGCTCTAACTTGGAATCCTGAAGGGAAGCGGAAAAGAGGAAGGCCAAAGAACACATTACGTCGGATAATAGAAGCAGATATGAAAAGGATGAATTACAACTGGAAGGAGCTGGAAAGGATTGCCCAGGACAGGGTTGGATGGAGAATGCTGGTGAGCGACCTATGCTCCTTCACGAGGAGTAACAGGTGTAAGTAAGTAACTCATCTTAGCATGTGAAGAATCTGGATTTATTCAAATGCAACTTTGCATTTTTGTAAAGTACCATTTTTATTGATGGATGTGACGCCAAACCAGTGACAATGAAATTAACGTGCGCTTGTATTTTCAAGTCGTTCAAGTTTACTTTTTCCACATACTTGGCAGAAAGACTTAAAGGATTCGAAAGCGAATTAATGAGTACGAGATCTATAAAGAGAATAAATGTTGGGTTAATTTTAAATATCATATCCCTCTAAAAAGTGCTTTATTGAAATAATTCCACTGATAACTTCGAAGGTGGATGTATAGTATTTTAAGGATCTAAGAACTTTAGGAGTAGACATATACTCCCCAAGTATGTCTATTGCTAAACAATAACACACAAATTCATTAAACAATTACTAAGCATTTTCAACATTTTAACCGCTGGACGTGAAACTCAAAAAGCAGATTGGTATCGTATTCATTATATATATAGGCCACTATGTGAAATTTGTGGTAATCACTATGGAAAAAAATTTGATATCACAGAACTTCAGTTACAAAACTTTGGGTAATAATTCAAAGTATAAGAAGTTAATTAACTAAACGGTTAAGAAATTCTACCAGTTTTTTGAACGGCGCCGTATATAGACAGCAAGTTCATGGAAAAGAAAACTTATAGGTATAACAGATGTCATTAACCAAAATAATCCTGTTACAAATACCCAGGCTCTGCTGAAATGATAAAAAGGAAAGAAAATGACTTAATATATATAAACATGAGTTGCATTACAAAATTTACTCGACTTGCGTGCCCGCTAAAAAATGCAGTGTAATGAGTATCATAGCTTAAAGATCACACCTTTTCCGCCCAAAAATATTGTCCCTCAAATGATGTATAGTATATTAGCTGACAAACTAGTTCTTCCAATGCTTTAAAAATTCCCAATACGGATGATATATACGAGCTCACACATGTTCACAGAAAGTGAATCTTAGCTTAATTTACGGCAGACAGTCGAAATTAAGTAGCAATTAGAAAACTACCACTCCAAACAATTGTTTACACAGAAAATAATGTCAGTTAATCTTTTTCACAACCTACCTATAAACATCATAAATGAAGGTGCAATCGTGTGGAAGTAAAAACCAATCGAAGTATATTTTTGGTGTGCACACAGATGTGAGGGCTAAATTAGTAGAGTAGAAAGTGAGCGTAACACAAACAGTCAGTAAAACGATGGACCAAGCACGATTAGACTTGCTGACAAATATATTCATACACGAAAAATACCAATCTCCTTCGAAATTTTGTTTCTTGAGATATATTAACAATAAAAGCAAAAGGAATTCATTAAATAAATTTAATGCACAACTCTTCAGATAATTTTTTGTAGTGCACAAATTGTACGGGTTTCAAGAGTCAGTGTTAAACAGATTTGGATTGAACCGCGAAATGTTACAAATTGTATCATTTCTTTATTAACAATGGATTTTTTTACTTTGGGCCAACTCGAAAGTAACTACGAGGACTGGTATCTGATTGTTGCATACATACTCCTCCACAAGATTTAGTTCTTAGGTCAACGTACGATGTGAATAACCCCAGTTTATGTTATGCGGTAGTGCCTCATATTCAGGTTGATAGGCATGGAATACAAGTGAAGTGTAGATTTGCAAATACTTCTAATATGGTTGATGGATGAGTGAGTACATCAGATAACAAAACTGCATGTCATGAAGTGAAGGCCATTTAAACAATTCATCGATTTGTATATCGAAGTGATGTTAAAGCGGCAGTGTTATTCACTTAGCAATTAGTGATATCACAAATGATTAGGTTTGAACATATGATTCAACATCCAAACTGGAGAAATGAATATCATTTGCAATAATCTGCGAAATTTAAGTGAAAAAAATGCACGCCATATGGGCTCTCACGATAGGGAATTTAGGGTGTGATAACCTAGTGGACAGCGCCGCCACTCAGAAATTCTAACCATGAAATTCAGCAACTAGTCAGATATTTGTCACGCGAAACAGCGTGTTTCCATCATAATATCAAGTAATTGAGGTTTTTGACTACGTTTTTTTAACATAACCTCTGTAGATTAAATTAGTGATCTCGTGAAGCTTGAAAATTTCAATTCTTAGGTGACGACTAACCCCAATCAATTTGACCTGATCACTTTACTTGTAGGTGCAAAAACATGTGTATACTACACAAAATAAATCAATGGTTCCGCAATGTAATTGAGGTGAAATATTTGCTGAACGATTTGATTTTCAAGTTGGGTCATATAATTTTTCTAAGCGTTTGGTTACTTTTTATGTATTCATATAGATTATATTATATATGCGTTTCATATACGCTCATGTATAGAGACTCGTGTGTTGCACTGAAACTTGATATTTGCTAACCAGCTACTCCCAAAACATAAAATGGTGGTTTTGCAGTTTCTACTTTTAAAAAAGTTAACTGACGACCTTTGAACTATGCCAATGGGAAAAAGCAAACGTCACTCACATTAGTATCACGAAATATACATACAGTGTGTTTCCATAACCCAAATACAGTGAGCTTACTTCCATTTTTCTCTGGTTTATTTCCAAGATATCGGGAATCTAATAACAAATATTTGACGTAACAGAAACATTCTTTTGTAAGGGAATTTTTCGTATAAAAATTACAGAACAAAAATCAAATTTTAGAGCATATCAACCCATGAGGGATCTCACGTAATTATAGCCAACGTAATGATCCCAAAATTTCGACGTCTGTACATAGATTGTCAAGGTGTAACTCCATTAAAACCTATCAGTGTATATAACATTTGAATTAACCCGAAATATTTGGGTTAACGTAGCTATTTATTTAAGTCGATTCGTTTTATAATGGATTTCGATGCTGGAAGGAGAGCCTTCTCAACGATGCCTCATTACGACTGAGGTTTCTAGATTCCTTTAGTCTTTTACACTTACCAGGACTACGTTGCATTTTCTTAAACCTCTGAAGGCGGTAAGTAGCCTTTCGTTGTCAATAAATTCCGTGTATTGGTCTCAATGTAAGCCACGCTCGTATGCACGAAATTTAGATGACTTGTATCAACAGATGATAATGTGTCTAAGTATTGTTTATCTCTATTCACACTGTTTAGTTCAGTCGTTAGCAGTTCTCATTTAGTCAGCGTATAACTTCCGACCTATACTAATATTCTACTTAGTGTGGACAAGTTAGAATAGCATGCCTTGGTTGACCACCGGATTGCATAGATACTCTGTTTACACATCAACTATGGCTAAAAATTAGAGGTGGTTTTAATGTCCAGATTTTAACCGAATGGTCACAGATTTGTACTCCATATTACCTGCTTCATTAGTGCCATTAAAACTCCTTGAGGGTCACAAATATATGCCAAAGAAAACTTCCTACAGCTAAATCTACCTACCTAACAAATTACAAATAAAAGCAAACTAACTTGACAGGATTGTATTGTGAAGACTGCGTGTATGTATATTTCGTATAATTTGCACAAGATGTAAGCAAACTACAACGAGGATATTGTACATTATTATTTCTCTATAGAGTAGCTTATTCTCCAAATTTACAGGTATAAGCATTGTGAAATACCATAACAAAAGAGTAGTAACCGAACATTTGTAAATCACATTAGTATCACTTTGTGGAAAGAAAAAAAAACAGGCAAGTTTTTGATCAGTGAATTTGAATTAAAGACTTCAGTATTTGGTTCACTGTTTTGCAAACTTACGAACAACTCGAGTTAAATTGATGGATTTCCAATAATCATAAGTCGTTTACGAATAAATATCACATTTGCTTACAATCCAGATGCTCTTATTCCATTTAGACACATGTTGCACGTAATGTGTTTTAAGTTGAATAAAATAAAACTGCCGGGAAACACTAGGAGTTGCCTCATTTATAGTTAAACTTTCCCACAAATTAGAATACGCAAATAAAAAAGTGTACCAAAATATGAATAGCTTGAATTTAAAAAATCTGATATCAAGAGATAATTTGATGATGTTGTTAACTCAGTCATGTGGTACAACTGCATTGATTCAAGGGGAGGTGGCATAAAAAACTAGATATTGTAAAGAGATTTGTTAATGATCTATCCAGTTGTCTAAAATTTGCAAGTGATGCGGGTAGGATTTACTTTATTGGCATAAATGCAACCGGTAGGAAGTGTCTAGTTCCTAGCAGCTTTTGTCTGGACACTATGCATTTTTTTCCAGCTTCCTGGCACCTATTGTCATGACAGGTAAGGATAAACCGAATATGTCCGGGACATTTCAGTTGGTGACTTAACCTCATGAGTAATCACAAAGAAAGGGAATTGTTCTGAAGACAGTTAATGACAGTAAACATTGTATTTGGAACGTAGTGGCAACATTTCAGCCAAACAATGAGACTAAATTAAAAAATAAAATGCTTATCCGGCGTAGGTTATCAAAACAGGAGAAATAAAATAGTGAGTTCTAAACACGCCTTCTGTGATGTCGAAAAATCTTAACAACTCGTACCAACATGCAGATATTTAATTGGAATTATTAAATAAAAACCCTCAAAAAACGTTCCAATTGATGGAGTTATTTGTAATAAAAAAACACTGAATTCATTTAATCTTAACACAACTAGATAAGATATGACCATTTGTGCCACTTATGATACCATTACTACTTACCCCTCGCTGTGATAGATTAAGTATAATGCTATTGAATTTGTCTTCATATGTACAAAAGTACTGATTCAAAAGTGTAGTTGTTGAACCAAATTATGTCCAGTACTGAGACATTCAACGTGGAATCTAAATCCACTGACTATAAATGAGTATTATGCACTAACAAACACAGTTATCAGACTTATCTGTATTTTGAAAATATCAACGTCTTTATGTTATTTGATCTTTTAGCTACACTGGATTATTTTCTTAACTTGGATGCAGTCTCAATAGGTGTAGGAGAAAGCGTGAGAACAAACATGATCACATATTACGACGCTTCTAGGTTATGACCATATGTTTTTACACAAGGATTAAGTTGACAACCATATTATTCGGCCACTTTTTTAGTTACATGTAATGTAACACATGAAGCCAGCCTTGTTGGATCAAGTTAGCGATTACAGTGAGATTATATCGGCTTTTTAAATACATGCGAATTTATAACCAGATATTTTAAATGTTTGCTACCGAAGTCCAGTTCCCGCTTAGTGAAAAAGATTTCAAGAAAAATACGTTTCTTTAATTCGAATTGTCTGCAGGATCGGAAGGAACCTCACATTAGTAGAAACAGGTGATAATGTAGATCGTAAGATAGCAAAAGATAAGGCATTTAGGGATCTGATTTTGAAACAGTTAAACGATACAGGTGAAAGTGAATCATTCTTTAAAAGAGTACTGGTCAACTTGGGACTATTTAATCCAAACTAACAATATGAAGACTTAGCAGATAAATCACGGATAATCAGCGGACCACATATTGTTACTAATGAAATTGTCTTTGTAAGTCATCGCATGCAATTCAAGGAATAATTTTTGACTTTATGTGATATATTATCCATAACATTAAAAATACAAAAATGTTTTACCCACGAATACGTAAATAGTGATAATTTGAAATACAGTGTTGGCACTACAATTCGACATTTTAAGGTGCAACTTGGTTGTCATTCAATTCTAAAATATGTATGCAACTACAAATTTTGTTGACAAAAGGTTTGTTCTGACGATCCCATTGAGCTTCAATCAATACTATTTTTCATAAGTTAGTTATTATCACTAAATGTGTCATATATTTGATTGTAACAAGGGAAAAAAGGAATATGTTCCGCTTCCAGAATATTTCTCCGGTTTTGAAAACACGCAAAGAAACAAATTATGAAGCAGGGAGGTTATTGTAAAAATAAAATTTTGTTTGACAAGTTTACTTTTGTATGGTTGTGACGAGACGTTTTATTACCACGTCTAGATAAATTTGTACTTAGGATATTAGTACGATGCCCAAAGATTAAGCCCAACATAACATTTTGTGGACTCAAATCATTAGGATTTGTGGCGCGTGGTGATAAAGATATGCGAGAATGGTTAGTCATGGAGACACTGGAAGTATTAGTATTTGAGCGAAGGACTTTATCGTGAATTAAATTATTTGGGGGTGCCGTTAAGTGTACGAGGACGGTTGTCACTTCCTGACTGCTCATACGATGTAAGGGTATTTCTTATTGACGGATCTGAAAAGAATCCGGGTCATTGGTTATCTTAGAGACCCGTCAACGTAACCACAGAGTCCAAGGGACAACTGCCTGAGGCCAGTCGCGCACGAGACGTATTTGATAAGTTAGCTCCACATTTTAAAATGCCTAACCGCCAGAGATGGAAATCTGTGGGGTATGGTGAGGAGTGACATTTTTAAGGTCGATCATTTTTAACCCTACCCTTCTGCTGTAAACGGGGAGCACAACTGAAAACACTGGTTGTCTAAGAGAGACTGCTGTCATACCGCTCTACAGTCAGAGGTATGAATTCGCCTCGGACCTTAAGTTGCTGCTTTTATCCTTACCGTTCCCCAACCCACCTGCCTGCATAGTAGGACCTAAGAGAACATGTGTTCCAGCCAATATGGCTTGGTTGAGTGATCACGATAGGGAAGACCGACCACCACATCAAGGTAACAGATACGGTCGGGATCCTTATCTGTCTAATTTGCTGGATTGGTAGTAACTGTTACGCCCTTTTTCTAGATAATCTCAATAACATCTAACTCCTCAATATTTTTTACTTGATATGTAGGTAGAGTTATCTAATATTACTTATCATTGCTTTCTAAAGATAAACTATTTAGAGGGATATATACGGTAGCTTACTATTTCTACTTTGCAATTATGAGTATTTAAATGTAGATTCTTCGAATTTACACCTATCGCTCAACGTTTACAATCACTTCTACTAGATTGTTCATTCACGATCACCACGCCTCTGGGTTAGGAGTAAAGGGGAAAAGTGGACTATTTTTGCTGCAAGCTTGACTTGGTAGTCGGGCTTGCCTATCGTGATGAAGCAATCGAAATATACTGGCTGCATCAATCGTTCCTCAAGGTCCTACCATGTCAGACAGGTCGGTTGAAGAGCGGTAAGAGCAACAAACTCAAGGTCCGAAGGCGAAGTCGTACTCTTACTGTACAGAAGTGTGACGGCAGTAAGGTGTTTCCTTTAGACAACCAGCATAACAGCGACGCTGCCTTCCCACAAAGGAAGGGTGGGGTTAGAAAAGGCCAACCTAAAAAATGCACGCTTCGCCTAATCCCGTGGATTCCCTTCTCCGTTGGTAAGTTCTCAACAAGTACGCAGCTAACGCAAAACCTGCCCACGAAAACGTCGTTCGTGACCGATCTCAGGCAGTTGTCCTTTGGGCACTGCGGTCACGCTCTCAGGTCACTAAAACCACCTCTAATACAATTCCCCTTTCATGTACCTCCAAAAGAAACTGTCCACGGTGTGGGCAACCGGGAGTCGATAACCGCCCATAAGACCACTGTGTTCATCACCAACCTCTCCAGTTCCTATAATTCCTCATACATCGACCTTCAACACTAAACTTCCTCTTTTGGCTTCCTCCTCAAGTGTCAGCATGGCCAACAATCCTAGTGCGCAAAACTGTTCCAGGTCTACTGAAACCTCCCTCCAAACTACACAATAGAGCCTTTAACGTACGCACCTTATGTCAAGTCGGCCACCAGGCCTCCTTGACTAAGACCCTAGAACCTCGTACCATTGATGTATGCTATGTCTCTGAAACAAGCATACAGGATTCCAGTGTGGTCATTCACTTGACCTCACCTCGGCAAAACGGAGAGCCGACGAGATACACCCTCAGTGTATCTGGTGACCCGACGGTTAGTTCTCGTGGACTGACGGTCGTAGGCATAGCACTAAGTACGAGGGCGGAACAAGCACTATTAGAGTGGATTCCCCTTAACAGTTGCCTATGTGCTGTTCGGCTAAACGGCTGCGTAGGAATTTGGAAAAATAGGGACACACGTCGTTGCTTTTTCGTCGTTTCTGCCTACGCTCCCACTGACTGCAGCCTGGATGAAGTGAAAGATGGCATTTACAGAAAGCTTTCTGAACTTCTTCATAAAGCTAAACGCTCAGACATAGTACTCGTAGCAGGTGAATTTAATGCCCAGGTATATAGGTAGGTTAAACCAAACAGAAAGAAATTTAGATGGGTATTTTGGCTCAATGAATAGATAATGGTGATCGTCTGTTGCAACTGTGCTCAGACAATCGTTTATTTTTAGCAAGCACTAATCTAAAGCATAAGGAGAGACACAGTTTAACATGGTGACCCCCTGCACCAAACAAACGATGGACTCAAATACACCATATAGTCATCAGTTATCGCAGGAGAGGCTCGATAGAAGACTACCGCTCGTTCTGGAGTACATGTTTAGACTCTGATCATGCTCTAATACGAGCACGCACTTGCTTGCGCCTCACTCGACGCGGAAAAGCTATACTAAGAAGACACATTAGAATTTAATTGAGTGATGAGAAAGCCGAAACTAGATTCCAGGAACAACAAGACGGTTCTTCAGACTAATAAAAAACTGGAACCAAAAAGTCAAATGTAAGTGAGACTGTCTCGGAAAAAGACGACACTTATCTGTTCCCAGCCCAGACGTTCAGAACGATAGATGAGAAACTTTAAAGAGCAGTTCAGCTGGCCTTCAGCTACTCTACAACTACCCACCATCCAGACGGATTAACTCCAGAAACTTTAAGGATGATGGTCTAGTCTTAGCAATTAGGTTAACTAATATTTTGGCTAAAATTTGGGAGTTGGATGTGATCCCATCTGACTGGTCTCAATTACTGGTCGTCCCAATATATAAGAAGGGGTCAAAATCATCCTGTGGTAACTAACGGGCGCCTAAGAAAGACTTGTGAACTACAAACACGAGAAAATCAGGCTGGCTTCAGACCTGATCCTGGCTGCATCGACCACATATTCACCATTGGTCAGGTTTTAGAACTCATGCATGCTTATCGGCGTTCGACGATGATAGTTTTTCTTCACTTAAAAGCAGCATTTAACTCCATAGACAACGAGATTTTCTGGCAGTGTGTGTCACTGAAAGGTGTACCTCAGAAGTACATAAACCTATTGAAGGCTCATTACTCATACACTACCAGCAGAGTCAGAGCTTATGGCGAACTCATCTGATTTTGCGACCTCAAGTGGTGACCGTCTGGCCGTCCACGTTCTCCATTTTTATTTAACTTCATCGTAGACATACTGATAACTCCGCCTGCAGTTCCTCCGGGGGCTACTGCCGGTCCGAAGCCCGGATAAAGGAGGAGGGTTGGGCATGGGGTTAGCGAGCGCATCCAGTTGAAAACTAACTTGCTAAAAAAACGCTAACCAGAAAAATATATTCAAACCTGTTAAACTCTGCCTTGGGAATCAGAAGATCTTCATTTAGAAGAACTATGACGCCTCATGATGAAAGCCGAGTTCCTTCGGAAGTTACGAGGCCAATGCTCCTTCCGAAAACCAGAGCAACCATTTATTTAGGTACATGGAATGTTTGTACAATGTGGGACATCGGGAGAACCTTCCAAATTGCTGCAGAAATGAGGAGATACAAGCTAGAGGTGCTTGAGATCAGTGAAACACATTGGACGAAAGTTGGACAACAACGACTAGCTTCAGGGGGAGTTTCTGTTATACTCCGGCCATGATGAAGAAAATGCCCCACATACACAAGGAGTTGCATTGATGCTGTCCAAACAAGCACAAAATGCACTTATAGGATGGGAATCTCATGGACCAAGGATCATCAAAAGCCTCCTTCAAAACAAAGAAAGAGGGCATTTCAATGAACGTCATCCATTGCTATGCGCCTACCAACGACTACAATGAAGACGCTAAAGATCAATTCTACAATAGGCTGCAGTCAATCGTCGAGAAGTGCCCAACAAAAGAACCTGACCATTCTGATGGGAGATTTAAATGCCAAGGTTGGAATGGACAACACCGGATATCAAGCACCATCACAAGGAATGGATCACTGTTGATACACTGGGTAAGATTCAAGAAAGGAGGGACAAGAAGGCAGCAATGAATACCAGCCGAACAAGAGCAGAGAAAACCAAGGCACAAGCTGAATACACAGAAGTAAACAAGCAAGTGAAGAAGAGCATTAGAATCGACAAACGTCAACATGTGGAAGATTTAGCAATGACGGCGGAAAAGGCTGCAAGAGAAGGAAACATGGGACAATTGTATGACACAACAAAGAAACTCTCTGGAAATCACCGTAAACCGGATTGACCAGTGAAAAGCAAGGAAGGCAAAGTAATCACCAACATTGAAGAACAACGAAACTGGTGGGTAGAACACTTCAAAGAACTCTTGAATCGACCAGCCCAGCTGATCCCACCCACGGACCTCCCAATTAATGTTGGCCCACCAACAATTAAAGACATCAGCCCTGCCCTGGTAGTTAGGTCTTCCATTTAGAAGAGTTACAACGCCTCATGGTGAAAGCTGTGTTCCTATGGAAGTCTGACTACCAGAGCAACCAATAATTTAGGTAAATAGAATGCTCGTACAATGTGGGAGACTGGGAGAGTCATACGAATTGCTGCGGGAAAAAACGAGACCAACAGGCTGGATTCCGTAAGGATCGATCGTGTACAGACCAAATCGCAACTCTACGGATCATTGTGGAACAGTCAATTGAATGGAATTCATCACTCTACATCAACTTCATTGACTACGAAAAAGCATTTGATAGCGTGGACAGAAAAACACTATGGAAGCTTTTTCGATACTACGGCGTGTCTCAGAAGACAGTCATACGGAATTCCTATGATGGATTAAACTGCAAAATCGTGCATGAAGGACAGCTGACAGACTCGTCCGATGTAAAAATCGGTGTCACTCAAGGTTGCCTACTCTCACTCTCCTGGTGATCAACTGGATCATGAAGACGTCAACATCTGAAGGGAAACACGGGACATAGTGAACATCTAGGATGCAGTTGGACGATCTAGGCTTCGCAGATGATCTGGCCCTCCTATCGCAAACGCAACAATAAATGCAGTAGAAGACTACCAATGTGGCAGCAGCCTCAGCAGCAGTACGTCTCAATATACACGAAGGGCAAAGCAAGATTCTTCGATACAACACAGCATGCACCAATCCAGTCACAATTGACGGAGAAGATTTGGAAGATGTAAAAAACTTTACATATTTGGGCAGTATTATTGATGAACATGGTGCGTGTGATGCAAATGTGAAGGCACGGATCGGTAAAGCAAGAGCAGCATATTTACAACTGAAGAACATCTGGAACTCAAAGCAACTGTCAACCAACACCGAGGTCAGAATTTTCAATACAAATGTCAAGACAGTTCTACTGTATGGGTCGGAAACCTGAAGAACTACGAATGCCATCATTCCGAAGATACAAGTGTTCATTAACAGATGTCTACGCAAAATATTTCGACTCCGTTGGCCAGACACTATCAGCAACAACCTACTGTGGGAGAGAAGAAATCAGATCTCAGCGGAGGAAGAAACCAGGAAGAAGCGCTGGAAGTGGATAGGACACACATTGAGGAAAGCACCCAACTGCGTCACGAGACAAGCCCTCACATAGAATCCTCAAGGGCAAAGGAAAAGAGGAAGACCAAAGAAAGTATTACGCCAGGAAATGGAGAAAGACATGAGAAAAATGAACAAGAATTGGATGGAATTAGAAACGAAGTTTCAGGACAGAGTGGACTGCAGAATGCTGTTCGGCGGCCTATGCTCCATTAGGTGTAACAGGCGTAAGTAAGTAAGACACACTGATGACCTCCTACCAGGAGGTCTACATATCGACTTAGAATACGCAGATGATATAGTCCTGTTTGGTGAAGACGCTGACAAAATGCAGTCTTTCGGTAGCACTGAGCAACAATGCCAGGATGTTTGGGATGCGTTTCTTCCCCTCTAAATACAAGTTGTTGCTTCATGATTGGCCTGCGTCAACACCTGAACTAAGGATAGGGAATGAAGTAGTCGAACGCGTTGACAACTTCACTTATCTTGGAAGTCTGATCAGCCATAATGGGGTGGTGTCTGACGAAATCTCAGCACGGATTCGGAAAGCTCGTTTGGCTTTTGCCAACTTACGTCACCTATGGCGAAGACGAAATATCCGTTTACCAATTAACGGACGAGTATATTGCACAGTAGTTCGTTCTGTTCTATTTTACGGCTGCGAAACATGGCCATTAAGAGTAGAAGATACTTGTAAGCTACTAGTATTTGACCACAAATGTCTTGGAAATATTTCCCACATCTGCTGGGATCATTGGGTTAGTAATAGTAAGGTTAGACGCAGGGTATTAGGGAGTGAGGGTAAATCAGTTGATGGGGTTGTGAATCTTCATCGACTGAGATGGTTGAGCCACATGTTACGTGTGCTTGAACACCGATAACCACGACTCACAATGCTGACTACTGTTGAGGATGCTTGGAAGAAAGTTAGGGGCAGTCAAACCAAAACATGACATCAGTCCATAAAGTCAATAACTTCTGGTCTGAGCCGTGTTGGTGGATGTAGGCTACTTTGTTGGGGTCTACGCGACTATCGCAACCAATGGTTGGAGATCCTGTGTGACATGGCTCACAATCGCGTCGGTGTATACATTCCCTTGAACTGTGAGATCGAAATAGCTTCATATGTCCCTTTCTATGAACTATTTCCTTCTTTCTATACTATATCCTTACATAAAACCATTCTTTTATATATCACACCATTGAGTTGACTGCTTTTATGAATCCGGTGTTCGTCTTGTTGTGTTAATGAGGTATGGTAACTTGTACCAATGCATATATGTGCCTGGTCCTACGTTGTAACTGACTGACTGAAATAGGTGAACCCAATAATGTGATATGGATGAGTGATGAGTACACACAAAAACGATATGTTTGTCCAAAACCATGGATGAACTGACATCGAAGAAATAACCTCTAGTCAGAATAGTAAGTTTTTTCTCTGATAAAATAACGTACTTATATACAAATTATCGGCAGAAAAAGAACACGATTCAATGTCATAAATGATCGTAGGATATCAACTTTGAAGGTCAGTTGCTTACCCATGACATAAGACCTGATATCAATGGAAAGATACTTGGTGTATTATTTGTTTCACAAGGAAACAGATATGACGTACATATTCACTGAAATAATGGAAATAAAGACATTTTAGACGTACTAAGACAGGTCATATAAATTTGTGAAATTTACTAGGTACTAGATAATAAAAATAAGGTAATCGTTTGCTTACAAAACATAAATGGACAGCAGTCACATACCACTGAAAAACATTGATGATATCTAAATAGAAACAGACTTCTGGTAATACAACCACGTTAAAATACCATATCAGCTTAAGGAAATTATATTGCAACACACCTTAGAAACCCGTCATAGCTATCAGACGATCTGTAGAAAAGGAATGTATCTTCTAAGGGACATGTAGGTGGAGCGACTACAATAACGATATTGAAACATACGACCAAACATAAAAGAAGAGTAAGCACAGTAGCAATTGGATGTAGTGATGCGATACCAAATAACACTGGAAGAAGCAATGGAAAGACAATGCGTGCTTTTCTATACCTTGGTCGATGTTTTGAAACAATTTTCGTCACCTGCATTGACATAGAAATACTGAAAAATACATTTCAAATGGAAAAATTTATGTAAAACATTGTGTCTGTTAATAATTATTTTTAAAACATACATACGAGTAACAAATGGATCCCAAGTTTAAGCCCACACCACGTTTTATAGTCAGGTAAAATCAGAAGTCGCCAAATACAAGTGATTCATACCATGATATTCTTTCGGAACAAAAGAGTAGATACTGCTGGCTATCGCAACTTCGTGTGATGTACTGATAGTAATAATTTTGACTAAGATTTATTCCAGGGGGAAGTAAGACACAAAAGCTAAAACATTCGTAAATCAATAAGGATAAAAACCGAAAAAAACAATCCCGACCGAAGCTGCCACCTTGACGCGGTGATCGGGCTTGCCTATCGTGATGACCCAACCGAGCTATATTGGCTGGAACATATGTTTCTGTAGGTTCTACCATACCAGGCAGGTCGATTAGAGAACGGTAAGACTAAAAGCAGCAACTCAAGGTCTGAGGGCGAAGTCGAACTGCTGACTGTACAGAGGTGTGATAGCAGTAAGGTGTTTCCCTCAGACAACCAGCATCTGCAGCGATGCTGCCTTCCCACAAGGAGGGGTGGGGTTAGAAAAGGTAGATCCTAAAAATGTCACACCTCACGAATTTCCGTCTCCGGTGGTAAGGCCCTTTGAAGAACGGAGCTAACACATTAAAAACCTTCCACAAAAAGGCCGTGCGCGACCGGCTGACTGACTGAAACAAACAATTTATAGCTTGGATTACATTCTACTGAGCACGAATGATGATAGGATATTTCAGATGCTGTTTCGCTAGTCTTTAATTTTATGAACTATGTATAATCTTAGCAATATTATTTGGTGAACAGTAACATGGGTTCAATAAAAGTTAAAACTGACTGGTGACCAGAAGCTAGTATTATTAGAGAAAAAGTGAATCCATGGTGCAGAATTTACGTAGATTCTGTGGACCCGATCAGTGGTATTAAATATCTGATCTCGAAATGACCAGAAATTTTCCCCGTGGTACCCCTAAAGCCCCCAAATGTCCTGGTACGACCGAAGATGGGAAGAGTTCGCTTCCTCTCTTGAAACGTTCTCACATGGTCACGCGTATACAGCCACTATCAGGGAAGTCTTACTCATTGTCTTCTGGCAGCGGGGGTGTTGTATAGGAAATTGAGAGGACGAAAAGCGAATGGCCGGCGCTTTAACTGCGTTGGTGGGTACAAAAGACCAACCTAGGGGAGTCGAAAAAACCTGATTCCGAACCAATGGTGTATATGGGCTCCAGGATCATGAGGGAACAAATGGCGTATGAACCTTTTGTTGGTCACCGGCTACCATGGGACTACATCTCGCAACGTTGCTCCACTACCTTGTGGATTAGACCTTTAGAAAAAAAGGCTCGAGTGTGACCCCCTAAGAAAGCCTTGTGCTCAAGTTTTGGCGCCTGGGCAGTATTCTAGCCCTCACACAAATCGAATGACAAAGCGTGGCTCATATATATTCGGTGCCTCCTTATACCAATATTTGTGCTTAAATAAATAAATATAAACTGAACAATATACCGATCAACTTCAATAATTATCGAAAGAGCAGTCACCATATTAATGTTAAGTAACATTGGGCTCATTAATACGATGAAAGGCTTTTAAACTCATACGGAATAAATCAATACAAATGGAGGTGCACTGAGATTTAATCAGCAGAACTAGCTATAAATTAATTTATGGACCTTAAGGTTGTTTTCTTCCTAAATGCCGTACTTATGGATTTAATACCCACAACACCCCTTTCAAATAACATATAACCCCTTGGTTCACTTGAGACTGAACCATTCTCCGCCGTTGTCGTCTTCACCATCTTGGACGCAGTCTCACTAGTTCTAAAGGTGTTATTTCTGTCCTTCCTAGTCTGTTGTTCGGGGGCTGTGTTTGACCGAGTGTGCCTATTGGTGTTTCTAGAATCGAGTGGCTTGTTCTTGTATGTTATTGACGACACATGTCTTTGTAATTGATTGGGTGTGGAGTCCGTTTGTCTTTTCCAACTTCATACATTACCTGACCAAATCTTTTCGTCACTCACCTTTCTACCTATGCGTCACGTTTCGATCTGTAATGTTGGGAGAACACGAGAGATCCCATTCCAAAATCTGAGACTTTCAGTTTTGTTATTTTCGCATAGCTAATCCTTTCCAGTAGTAGGTGAGGGATTCTCAATCTACGACCCGTGAGGATTCCTGATTCAGTAGTGCATCGTTTGGTGATGAGCGCCCTCCTTTGATTTTGTCAACGTTGTGTTTGAGGGCGTCCATAAATCTCTCTGATTTTCCATTTGATTGAGGATATAATGGCAGTGTACAGATACGCATATCGGAATTTTGTTGGTAAAATTCCTGAAGTAGGGGAGGTAAGCTGTTGTCCGTTATCTAACCTTTATTGTTGGGTGGGTGCTCTGTTCCAGGAAAAATCCTGTGCCCAGAGGGTCTTTGTTATTGTGAAGGGTTGTTAATTAGTTATTTGTTTGAATACATAAGCATCGGTACAAGGAGACACCAAGTACATATGTGCCACACAATAACAATCAGGCTAGTAGTAGTTATTGTTGATTTGTGTAAGGGCTTTGATACTTCCAGGGTTTCCAAACCTAAGCATGTGGCTTTCTTAGGGGGTCACACTCGAGCCTTTTTTTCTAAAGGTCTAATCCACAAGGTAGTGGAGCAACGTTGCGAGATGTAGTCCCATGGTAGCCGGTGACCAACAAAAGGTTCATACGCCATTTGTTCCCTCATGATCCTGGAGCCCATATACACCATTGGTTCGGAATCAGGTTTTTTCGACTCCCCTAGGTTGGTCTTTTGTACCCACCAACGCAGTTAAAGCGCCGGCCATTCGCTTTTCGTCCTCTCAATTTCCTATACGACACTCGTGCCGCGAGAAGGCAGCTACAGTGGATGTAGATTTAATCGTTGAAGCAGGTATTTATTGCAGCAACCAAGTGGCTTGTTGGTGAATAACTTCTCTTACATCCTGCTAACTTTGTGGATATGTACGTGGAGAACGGTGCTCAACTACATAACAATTGGTCGGTTATCAGGTGTGGGATTATCTACTACTATGGTCAATTATATACACAGGCTTACTTCCTATAGACGGTGTAAACTATTTTATTTATTTATTTGAACACATAAATATTGGTACAAGGGGGCATCAAATAGATATGTGTAGACTGCGACAGATTTGTTGGTTTTGTTCAGTAAACTGACCGGCTGTCATGCCAGTAGTTTAGCTGACGAAAATACATTGCGATCGAATGCAGAAAAACCCAAGAGTTAAGCATAACAATCCTATAAATCTTTTGTAGTGATGCGTCGAAACAGAGATCGGGGTGTCTGTAGAATTCAGTAGACATGGATGTAACTGAAATGTAGGCTGAAAACAGTCACGTTCAATATCCGCAGTTCAGTTTGCTGGACATTCAAGTATATATATTTATAAATGCATATAAATAAATTCGGCACAAGCGAAAACGTTACCGCCGACTTCCACGCCAACACCTATTGGCAATCGGTTTGCGGCTGAAATGTGAAATTTAAGTCTATTTTTCAGATCCACATAACTATACGCTGTTCCCCATTAAATGTCGTAATATCAAACATGAGTGCTAATGGTATGCAGCTTATGTTAGTCTACGTCTGATGCGCGCAAAAACCCACAGAGCATTGATACTGGATCATCGAGTTTCCATTCTCCTTTGTCGTCTGAAAAGGAACGTTGGACTCATGTCTTCAGCAAGAAGACATGGACAAATCAGTAGTTCCACTAAATGGATTGGATTATTACTTCACAATCTAGATGGTCATGGTGATGAGAATAATGAATGGTAACTCGAAAACCTTCATGCGCTACATCATTAGGCCCCCTGAATGCCCTGGTACGGCCGAGAGTGGGGTGAGTTCGCTCTCCCTCTCGAAATGCTCTCACACGGCCACACGTATACAGCCTCTGCCAGGGAAGTCCTACTCATTGCCTTCTCGTGGCGGGGGTGTTGTTTACGAAAATGAGAGGACGAAAAGCGAATGTCCGGCGCTTTAACCGGATCACAAACCAGTGGTGCACATGGGCTCCAGTATCCTGCGGGAACAAATGGCGTATGAACCAATCGTTGGTCACCGGCTACCATGGGATTGCATCTCCTTACGATGCTCCACTGCCTTGTGGGTTAGACCTTCAGGTCAAAGGCTCGGGGTGTGGCCCCCTAAGAAAACCACCTGCTTCGGTTTGGGCACCCGGGCAGTATCACAGCCCACACACAAATGATGAACTCTTTATGTCTATGGAAATTATTTTTCTCGCTTCGAAAAACAATCAATTGATTCAAATTATTATCATTACAATTATTGTCATTATTAATACTATTATTATTACCATTATTATTATTATTATTATTTCCCACATTATTCACCCTCTTTTATACTTATACAGCGGCTCGTCTTTGGTGGAAACTCGACTGTATCTAAACGTTCTCGAGTCACTGTCCGGTTGAAAATTGTATGTTACCACCGAATACGAGAACTGAAGCAGTTTTTCTGAAACCACGTGCACCATTCAAACTGGCTGCCTTCAGCGTTCGCACATTTATGCAGGTCGGACAACAGATAGGGCTGGCTATGTCTTTGGAAAGTCTCAATATTGATGTTTGTTGTCTATCTGAGACCCGTATTCAAGACTCTGGCGAAGTACTACAAATTCGATCTCCATCTGTCGATTCAAAAAGCTTGTTTTACGTGCGCTTATCCGGGGACCCTGTGGCATCTTCGTCTGGTCTTGCTGGCGTTGGTGTCACACTAAGCGCTAGAGCTGAGGCAGCACTAGTCGATTGGATCCCCATTAACAGTCGGTTATGTGCTGTTAGATTAGAAAGTTCCATCAAAGTGAGGGAAAATCGGCGTGAGAAACGATGTCTTTTCGTCATCTCCGCCTATGCTCCGACAGATTGCAGCCCGGATGCAA